CTCAGGAAGCAAGCTTTGAGCCAAAAAAACAGAGAAGGATTCTCACAGCCTTTCAACACAAGTCCAAGTCAGAACTCTGCAGCTGTCAGGTTCCTCTGTTGCCCCAGGGATGCCCAAAGCCCTCTCACAGGGTTTGCATACACGACAGCAGACAGAGGCCCATTTCTACCAGCCGGAATGATAAAGTTCAGGATCCACTGAGTTACCTAAAAGATCAATCTTACATGACAGTTTAAATTGTTACTATGCTGTTTTATAGATGTAATGAGGCATTAACACTAAAAGCAATACAGGGTTTTATAGGCTATTTAAAACAGAACTGGAGATAAAATACCCTGCACAACAAAGGATATAAGGAAACGGCTACACAAGGCCATGGGCCAGGGACAAGGCATGATGGAGAGATTTCTCCAGGCTGGGAGACAGATAGTAAAAATATATTTCACATATTTCTGAGAGCTAAGATAATCTGCAAAGAAAGAGAGGTTGTATAGCAATGAGAACTTCATGAGCATAGCTGACTGCCAGCAGATATTATGATCTCACAATATTGATGTTTTGTACTAATAATTACAAAGTCAGCAGCTTTACAATTACTTATTTGGATAAATACAAGTGTAAGTGCATCCCGTAACATCATGAATGGAAATAAAGCACGATTAAAAGTGACAGCTCATATGCTAACATTGATTCCTAGACAAGACAGAGAAATAGGAAGAATGAGAGCACAACCAAGGGTAAAATAATCTTGATACTCAAAAAGAAAAACACCAAAACACTAAACTACCAAACCAACAGATAATGAAAACATTCATAAGCAGTGAGGAAAAATATATTAACTTTCCTAACTGTTGAGACTAGATATACATACTATATATATATATATATATATATATATACTATATATATATATTTCAGGCTTATCTAGACAGAAGTTTGGGTTAATTTTTGTCTTAATTTTTGTTTTTCAGCATGGAAGTGTTGGTGTTCTCACTGAACCAGGTCCCTGCCTGTGGACCAACCTTATTGGACCTTCTAAACCTTATTTAATCGAAAACCACCCGATGACTTCTCTGAAGAGAGATCTATTGTTGGCAGTCACTGTTTGGATCAGACTTCTTAGCAACATACAGCTGTGCAGCACAGCTGGGAGTGGGAAATCCCCTGCAGGGACTTCCTTCCCACTTCTTACTGATCAGACTGAAGCATTTATTTTCCTTTTCACTAAAGAGAGCAGAAGTAGGGTACAACACGAATCTGTTGCTGCTGCACCTTTTAATGATCTGCAGGATGCTAATCCCTCCCCTCGTAAACAGTGCAGCAGCTTGATCCTGCATTGTGCTGAGCCTTGCACACTGCTGAGCATCCTGCACAGTCCTATTTGAGAATAGGCCCTCGCATCATTCTGTGAGTTCTTTTGTGATTGAACTTCACATCAGACCATGCTTACACGATCACACACTCAGACCAAGCCTCTGCTTTGCACTTCTGCCCAGAAACCTGCATGACTAAAGTGATCCAAACTGCACAGCTACTTCACCATCTATGTTCAGGATCTGTTCCTCTTAAATCTCTTCTAACAAAGCTTTGTTCAAAGATGATTAACAGGTGCTGTCATTAAAAAGTTGCCACTTTCCAACAAGCACATGGATCTGCTAGAAATCTAATGTTTCTGCAGTCTTCCCCAAGAAGGGACAGTTGTGATAACTGGTAAGGCCTGACAGAGCTTGACGTGCTCAAGTACCTCCTACCCCACCTAACGTGTTGAAAGACTGCTGGCTTCTGGAGAGGGTGCCTCTCGTCTGTGTGAAATCAATCGCATAAGCACATATGATACAGGACAGATAATGCAGCCCACTATGATTACAAGTGGCGATTTTTTTAGATAATTATGATTTTGTCCAGGAAAGTTTTATTGGTAAAAAAAGCAAAGAAAAGCATTAAATAATATGCACAGAAGTGTAGACATTAAACAAGGAACTGAAACACAGACTTTAACATACATTGTAAGGTGCGCTGAATATAGAGTGTGCGCACAGCATACAATGCACACCAAATAGGGACAGGGATCACACTGAGCACCTGGCTGGCACACAGCCACTCCACCTGGTGCACATTGAAGTTCCAAACCTAGAAGACAGACTCCCTGTTAGTAGCTGGAAAAAGCAAACTGTAGAGATGGCAACGTACCCTGTCCAGAGGGATCTTTCAGTAGTTCTGAAGAGATGTTTTGGTGATGGCAGCCTTGCTGTTGGCAAAACTGCCAACTTCTTGTCAAAAGGATTTTTTTTCTCAGGAAGGTGGGAAGGAAGTGTTCAGTATGTTTTCAGAAACTATTTTAAATGATTCTGAATCTTTTGCTGTGCTTAAAGCAGAACTCAACACATAAATTGTAAGTCTCATTTTTGTGTAGGTTTCAAAGAAATTACGGATGTAGGAAATTTGCACTGGATTCTGAGTCCAGTATTTCAGAATTTGATAATTGTTTTTCTTCTTTTCCGTTTTCCATGAACTAGTTAAAACCATCATTGCTCTGGCAAAAAGCCTATGTTTTGAAAGGATTTTTATTCCCTTCTTATTCCTTTTGTTCCAGCATGTGACTCCAAGTTACAGCATTCACTGATGAGATGGTGGCACTGCACAGCTCCAAGACCACTGCAGTCAGTAAGAATATTCCCACTGACTTTTCTGAGCTTCACATCAGGGTTTTATTTGGGATTTAGCTTTAGTCTCAACTCACGTCTCAATTTACTGTGCATTTAAAGTGAACACAGAATAGCCAGTATTGGCATGTTCCGCTTCTACAGAACAAGTCAGATGAACTGACAGCTTTTAAGTTTAGGAAACATAACAAATTCACAGGATATACAATGAGAAACATCATCTTACAGACATGCAGCAAGAGGAAATGCAACTAATCCAATCCAGTGTTTATTTCTTTAACATTCTATTACAGCAAAGAAGTTCTATAATGAGATTACTCCATTTTATCTCTTAATTGTATCCAGATATGCCAAACGTATTTACTGCTAGTGGCTTGTACACTGTATAGCATTTTAGAGCTAATTCTGAAACAGAAGTACTATTGCTGCACAATGAAATATTCTTACTGTTATGAATCAATACTATTTTCTACAATTAATTGTGATTTCTTTTTTAATTGGATATAAACCCTACTAAACTATGAAACAGCTATTTGTATAAATATAATTCTTTTAAATCCAGGATGATATCAACATAGAATGTTTTATTTAAAGAGATTGCAAGCAAAAAAGAAAAAAGAGACATTATGCATTTCCTTTATTTACCATTATTAAAACCAGCAGCAAGCCTAGTCTTGAAAGCTTTCAGGTTTTTATTTTTGAACATCTGAAATCTACCATTGTGCATAAACATGCACACACATCCTCCCCAAGCAGTGTATTTATAGTTTAATTGTTCATTAAAGAGTACTTAGCACCTGGCTATTGTTTGTATCATACCACATAGAGAGGAAAGCACATTATTTATAGTATTTACACTCACAGATCTCTAGGGGCTGAAATACTTAGCAATCTTTTAATTAATATAAAACATATAATTTAATTAATATAAAACACAACCAAAAATGAAAAAAAAAAAAAAAAAAGCTAAGCAAATAGTTTTAAAATAACATTGCATCAAAGCTCTTCTGTTCAAAAATACGGGTGAATAGGCAGTGAGAATCCCAACCTGATCTGTTACTCACAGCTACTTAAAAATGTTAAGAATCATATCTATGTAATAATACCTCATTTACCTTGATTATACAGCCCAACAGCATATACCATATTGTAGGTATTTATAACCTGGTACTGTAAAAAAAACTGACACTCTGCACATATTTCAGAATACACGCTTAAGCTCAGTTTTCCTGAACAAATACTCGTACCAGGAACAACCAAATTCCTGAATGCAGCCAACATCAAATCTAGTTTGTGAGTCCTACATGAGTATGGGATACTTTCTTTCACTCTACTTAGTGGTAAAAAGATAAGCGACAGGCATGTGTTTATCTGTGCTGCATGAAATAGCAGCTTAAAGCTCACCTGCGTGTTATCTCACCTTAATGAGCACTGTGTTTCAACACACATTATTCAACACATATTATGCTCGTATTTCACATATTTTTAATAAAATTATATTAAACTTAAAATTAAAATTTTCAAATGAAAATACATTTACATAAGTTATCAATAATTAATACAATTACACTTTGATGACCTGATATGAATCAGAACTTCCAGATAAGACATATAAGTAATTTCAGCTGTTTAGAAAAAAACACTGCACTTCTTGATGATTTATTACAGTAAGAATTTACCTATTAAATTGCCAGTACTTTGGTGGAAGTTAGATTGTGATGCTGATTCCAAGCTTGATGACATATCAGTCAAGTACTTACCAGAGTAAACATTGCAGAATACATATCTGAGGCTATCACAACATTTTATACCAGGTTAATCTTTATCCAGCTGCTCAATACCACTAAAACAGTACTTCAGGTATTTTTACAAGAACATATACTTTCAGCAAAATTCTCTTTGGATCATCCTTCAGTATAATTACGCAATCAATCAACATCTATGTTAACACTTAGTGCAGTCTACACGGGCATTAATATTCTATTTATTTGAAGTGCCCACAGGATCTAGGAAAGATTTTCCAGTATTTCTATGATCCAGACAGATCCTTGCGGAGATTTTTCACTCTCAATTTAAGTCTCTTATCTGCAGGACAAGTGTTAAATTGTTCTGCATTACTACCTGTACCATTCTAGTTCTACTGCAGTTGTTCAGGTATTACGATTCAAATTTTTTTAATTCACTAGGAATTTGTCAGTAACTCGAGCACTGCAAACCTTAGCTCTGTCCACCTAACTGTGACACACAGGAATTTCTAAACTCTGTATGTGTCCACAGAAAATGCACTTACCTGCTGTGTGAATCCTGTCACCAGATCCTTGGCAGCCATCCTCATCATCACAGTCCCCACTTGTCTCCAACTCTTCACTTCTTCCTCCCCCACTGCCAGGATCTCGGGAAGACCATCTTTCCAGTTTTAATTTTGCTTTCTCAGCATCCAGCTAAAATGAAAGAGCAAAGAATCAAAAGCTCCTGCTTCTAGTGACCAAACTGGATTGCTGGGTTTACAAAGCAACAAGCATGTTCACATTCTCTCCAGAACTGCTACTCACGTTATAGATTGATTCTAGCAGTACTGTGTTTTTGCATTTTTGGAGTAAAAGACTACACCATCAAAATATATCCACCACAGAGGACCCCCAACACTTACCGTCCCACTTTTGATTGTAAACACCACATCAGCTTTGTGTTAGCTCTGCCCCATGGCATGACAAGGTACAGTTAAAACCTGTTACTCCTGTTACACCAGTATATCTTAACCAAACGGAAAGACTTTGTAGCACTGTTCGAAGCTGGTCAGAGCTGCCCAATAGCCTCTATCACACACATTTCTCGAAAAAGAGAAAAGTCTGTAGGCTGTAGATACATTTGAGACTTTGTGATCCGTTTTAGCCCAGAGAAATGTGATTATCTCTGGTGCTGAGGGAAACATATTTTAAAATGTATTTCCTTTGAAGGTTCAAGCAGATTTCACACTAAAAAGGAGATGGGCTGTGAGCTGCAGGAACTGGAGCATAGACTAACACAATTGGGCTGGATGGATGGCAGCGAATGCAGCCATTTCTCTGCAAAGGGAAGCTCTTTGGGGTATTCTTCTTGTTCTTCAGATGCCTTGAGCTGCCATCCTCCACTCCGGGGATGATAAGTGCTTGGAGAACTTGTAGAGCATGGCAGAGACCCTGATCTACAGACACCAACTTCTTTATGGCAGAACTGAGGATTTTTTTCACCCTTTCACTGAAAAGATCTGTTTGCTCACTCTGAAGATGCAAATCACTTTGCACTGCAGTGGGAAGATCAGTAAGTGGATAGGGTATGGATTTCAGTGGGAAAGTGCATCAGAGACTGTTTAATTGTTACTGCATGCCTGTTTTTTTAAAAAACAAGTTGACTAATGCTGAGCCTTGCTATTCATTGGTATCTTGACTGATGTCATGACTACACGAAACAATATTTTGTTAAACGATGAGAAAAATTTGCCTACGAGGGAGAAAGATAACTCAGTTCTTTCACAGATTTCTCATGTCCTCACTGTATTAGAGAACAGTCATTCATTCTTAGTTATAATCTTTCAGAATGAAAAGAAATGGCTAAGTGGTGAATGGAACAGATGTAATATTTAATGAAGGTTTTTAATGATTGTTTGCCAGTAGAGCAGAAATGTTTATTGCCTGTTAAGGCAATCTTCTTCTCAAAAATTTTACTTCACTCAGTGTTCATGGCTCAATCTGACCCCTGACCAAAACAAGTAAATACTTGAACCAAGTGTGTACCACTTCTGCAAAAAGACCAAGAAAAGCTCAGCTTTCCAACACGGCGCACCTGCAGCACTTCACGTACTTCCGTGTTCTTAAGGCCTGCACAACAAAAAGAGATTAAACACAGTTGAGACCTGCATCTCCCCTTTGCTATTCAAAGTTGACCCAGATCTTCCTTGGCTTGCCACTATGGAGGCAGGCCAAATTAGACAGAACTCTGACGCAGAAGCACAATATCACAGCTCAAAACCAGCTCCAGTGCAACCTACTTACCTTTCCCCCTCTTACAGCACTTCCCAAATCTTTTCAATGATTTTTCCATCAACAACTTTTGGATCTATGATTACCATTAACCAAGAGCAACGAACCAGAGCCCAACTTTGTGCACACATACTGGCTTATACATAAATAAACACATTCCAGGAGGTGAAGCAGTGTGAGTTAGGAACATTTGTCCCTTGACAACTGCCCCATGATGTTAGTGAGAGCACTGATTCAGTGTGACAGCTACGTGTATACTAGCCTTTCTCCTTTTCTTTTCTTCATAGAATCAGAGACACCCTTCTCAAAGCCCTGAGACTGCACTGAGACAGCACAGGCTGTGTCAGGATCAAATAGGGTGCTGGCGCTAAGAAAAATCATAATAGAAAGATGTCCTTTACATTTTTTTCAGCTCTACAAGGTCTGGAAGATGACTGTGGACAGGGAATGTCCTTAATACACACTCTAACACTGCTGTCCATGTTCAAGGCCTCTTCAGAGACAGCCACGACCTGCTGAAACATGCGAACAACTCTCCTAGGGGAAGAGAGAAGCCCCCAGAGCTTCCAGCCTGCCCCAGAGGGCCACAGAGCACACAGCAATCCCTTCCCCAGATTGGAAGGCAGACAGCAGTGACTGGAATCAATGATGGCACTTACATTTTTAAGAGCTATTCTTAAGCTATATTTTGCTGACTTACACTCTGCCTGCTGATGTGTAATGCAATCCAACCATCTCTGGCAACTCTGCTCAGTAGTTCCAGCCTGGGAGCGACCTACCTTGGGGCTGAGAATTGATGCTTCGATTGAACAACTGCAATGGATTTCAGGCTGAGCACTGCAGCTTGTGTCTTCACCTTCACAATGCAGAAGGTATTTGCTGCTCAAGATTCCAGAAGATACTGCAGTCCTTAAAATCTAAATCTTCAAGTTTTTGGCATATTTGAAAGACAGTCCTGCTTACCCATGAAAAGCTCGTGTAAATAGCTTAGCAAAATTTCCACAGCCCAACTGAAAACTAGTTTGAATCAGAATTTTTCCAAACTGTAAGCTTTTGGATCAGGTTCATAAGACTCTAAAGAGTTTCTGAGAAACTTTACAGTCTTTCTGTGGAAAAGATTTAGTATCTGTTTCAGCTCTGAGTCAGACAGAGATTATACATATGCATTTTATTTACCCCAGCAAAGGCTGCTAGCTTAAGTAAAAAAAGAACACAACTTTTTACTGACATGGTATCATGGAGAAGAAAGAAGTCCTATGAGAGTGGTCCCCTATTAATACCTAATGATGTAGCACAGGTATTCCTGATCATCTAAAGAGACTTCACAGACTTCTGAGAGGATGTGAACTCACAGAATCATAAAATCTTTTGAGTTGGAAGTGACCACTACAGTGCCAACAAGTTCAACTCCCCTGCAATGAACAGGGACACCCACTGCTCTATCAGGTGCTCAGAGCCTTATCCTGTCTGAATTTGATTACCTCCAGGGATGGGGCACCCACCATACCTCTGGGCAGCCTGTGCCAGTGCTGCACGGCCCTTATTATAAAAATCTTCCTTCAAAAATCCAACCTAAATCTCCTCTCTTTTAAAAGTCTGACCATTTAACCTTTTCCCTTTCCACAACAGACCCTGCTAAAGAGTCTGCTCCCCTTTAGATACTGACAAGCTGCCCTCAGCTCTCCCCCTGCCTTCTCCATCTGCACAGCCCCAGCTCTCTCAGCCTGTCCTGTAGGAGAGCTGTTCCATCCCTGGCATCATTTCTGTGGCCCTCCTCTGGCTGTGCTCCAGCAGCTCCATGTCTCTCCTGTGCTGAGGACTCCACATCTGGACGCAGTGCTCCAGGTGAGGCCTCAGAACAGAGCAGAGGGGCAGGACCACCTCCCTGACCTGCTGGTTGCTCTTCTTTTGGTGCAGTCCAGGATACAATTGGTTTTCTGATCTGCAAGGGCACATTGCTGGCTCTTGTCCAGCTGTCATCCACAAGTACAACCCAGGTGCTTTTCAGCAGGGCTGTGCTCTACTGTTGAACCTCATGAGGTTCACCTGGGCACACTGCTCAGCCTGCTTATGTTCCTTTGGATGGCATCCCGTCCCTCAGGCGTCACTGCACCACTCAGCTAGCTGTCATCAGCAAAACTGCTGAGGCTGCACTCAATCCCACTGTCAATATAATTGATGAGGATATTAAAGAACATCAGTCCCAGTACTGCTGTAAGCTGTAGAGTAATATTAATTTTGTCAAGATAGATTTTAAAACTGTATTTTGCATCACAGTTTTAGGATTTTCAGGTCAGTGAATACGGCAGTGAAAATATAAGAGAACACACTTTTTGAATAAAATCACTTAAAAGCTGTGTGCTTGGAATATTCAGAGACAAATCCCATATAATAATAGTTTAATGAGGAACTTGTTGATTAGTTTTCTGCAGACATTTCAGTGGGAATCTTCTTCTTCTCTGAAAAGAGAGTTTTGAGTTAAAACCTAGCTTCCTTCCAGTTTTCATGTCAACACATATATCTGACAGAAAGTGCTTATTATAAACTGAAGTTAGAAATTGCAAGCTAAGAAGCAGTCTTCTAAAATGTACTTCAATTACATAAACATGATTTGCAGAAACAAAGCACTTTGCTTGCTTCCACCCATATAATGCACAAAGCCTGATCTTGAAAAGAGTCATAAATGACTCAGTCCTGTCATTCATTTCTTTAGTCAAAAATAAAACTAAAAGTCCTTTCAAAAGCATTATTAGGTCATAAACAACTACAACTGAAATAGACAATGCTCCTTTGTTTTTCTCTTTCTATATACATTTTTTCTGAGGGACTGACACACTGCTTTAGGCATAAAGCTGCATTTTACTGGGGCCTTGTGACTGAGCAGATGTTCTGACATTTCGCAAAACAAATACAACAGATTTGAGACATAACTGCCATATATGTGCTTTTTCCAAGAGGTCCTCTTTTTTGAGATAGCATTTATGGTTAATTTTCCTCCACATATGCTCTTTGCTTCCTTCTGAATGCATCTGGCAGTTGCTATTCTTCCTTCTTTACACGTTATCTAGCGTTCATATATTACAGCATAAATAAGACAAATGAACTTATTTGTCTTAATCTTCTCTGACAGTTTCTTTGGTTTGTTTTTCCCCTGTTTTCATTTCAGAGAAATCCGGAAGCTCCAGTGCATTATTGCTTTCTAACTTCTTCTGACAGCAGTATAACTCAATGAGGTAGCTTCATGCAACTCCTGGATCCTTTTTTTAGCTGAAGATGGACAGTTAACCTTCTGGAAGAAATGACACCACCAAGGTTTCCTTCTGCTTGATTTATTCAGGTTCATATAATAACCTTTACTTTAAAAAATCTTGCTTTACAAGTCACCTGTATGATATCAGAACAATTTAATTCAGCAGCTATGC